GTGTGTGTGTGTGTCCGTGGTGGGGTGTGTGTATGTCCGTGTGTGTGTTTCTGGTGGAGGGGTGTGTGTGTGTGTGTGTGTGTGTCCGTGGTGGGGGTGTGTGTGTCCGTGTGTGTGTTTCTGGTGGAGGGGTGTGTGTGTGTGTGTGTGTGTGTCCGTGGTGGGGTGTGTGTGTGTCCGTGTGTGTGTTTCTGGTGGAGGTGTGTGTCTGTGTGTGTGTATGTGTGTGTCCGTGGTGGGGGGGGTGTCCGTGTGTGTGTTTCTGGTGGAGGTGTGTGTGTGTGTGTGTGTGTGTCCGTGGTGGGGGGTGTGTGTGTCCGTGTGTGTGTGTTTCTGGTGGAGGTGTGTGTCTGTGTGTGTGTGTGTGTCCGTGATGGGGGGTGTGTGTCCGTGTGTGTGTTTCTGGTGGAGGTGTGTGTCTGTGTGTGTGTGTGTGTGTGTATGTGTGTCCGTGGTGTGGGGGGGTGTCCGTGTGTGTGTTTCTGGTGGAGGTGTGTGTCTGTGTGTGTGTGCAGTGTGTATCGGGGTGTCCCTCTCACACTGTCCTCTGCACATGGCCTCTGCCCCTTCCTGGCACTCTCTCCCATTATCTGGGCGCCCCTAGTCTGTGTCCCTCGCCGTCACACCCGCCCCCCCCTTCAGCAACCCGGTGGCTGGGAAGAGCAGGAGAGCCCCGTCCTCTAGCCACCTCCCCATCCGGCCGCCCCCCAGCCCCCTTGAGTGCAGGTCTCAGTGGGACCGCGGTGTCCAGGGTTTCAGTTCTGAGCCTATCACCCCTTGCTTTGGGAAGTGGCTTTAACCTCCCTGGGCCTCAGTTTCTCCCCCTGTGAGATGAGGACAGTACTAAAGATCAGAGACTGTTTAAGACCCAGCCTCAGCCCTGTCGAAACAACAAACAAGGGACGAGAAGACGCGCACCCCCCCAGAGGCAGGCGGCACAGGGCGAGCTTCCGCGGGGTGGTCGGCGGAGCCTCCACACCGCCCAGCCCCTGGGATGGGAGGACTCCTGCTCCCCTTCTCTCTTCTCTTGCACGGGCAGCTGGGTTTCCTTGCCCTCTGCCCGCCCTCAGCCCCGTGGCTCTGGCAGAACCCGGACTCGCAGGTGGGTGGGCAGGGCGGGGCTGAGCTGAAAGGGGGACTGCGGGCTCCACAAGGACAGGCTCTCCCAGCGCCGCCACCCACTCGAGTCGGGACATCAGCACCGTTGACGTGTGTGGGCCGTCCTAAGCCAAGCGATTTCCCACCCTGGCCTCTGAGAGAAGAGACAGCCCAGGGCTGAGACCTGGTCCGTGTGTGGACCATTGGGTTGTTCAGAGTCTGCTCGTAGATCTTGTTTACAATACTTCATAATGCACAAGTCTCTCCCCCTCTCAAGGCCTCAGTTTTCTGATCTATAAAATGGGGCTACGGAGAGGAGACAGTGAGCTAAGGGTGTGAAGCTGCCGGTGTGCGCCCCACAGGGCAAACCCTCACCAGTGTTAACTCTTGTGGTCGAGGGTTGGTTGTGCCCAGCAATCCCCTGCCCGGAGAGGTTACACCTCCCTGCCCCAATGAACACCCTTCCGTGCCCGCTGACATCAGGCGTGGCCCTGTGACTTGCTCTGGCTGATGAAATGGGAGCAGAGGTGCCCAGCAGAAGCTTGAAAGGCCACGCTGTGGTTTCACCAGCCGCCCGGCTCTTGTCTGTCTCGTTGGCACATCCCAGACACAAGCCACACCTTCAGCTTGGATCGCAGAGTGAAGATGGGAACTGGCGCTGAGTGGTGGGGCAGAGACGGCAAACTGTCACCAACATTAACCCTGGATGCAAATAAGCCTTGGCTATCCCAACCCACTGATACTTAGGGGATGTTTGTTATGCAGCATAACCTAGCAAAAGCTGACCAACACAGAAATTGGTACCTAGAAGTAATGGGCTACAACAAATATGTAGCCTCAGCTCTGGGGGCAGGTAACGGGGTGATCAGCAAATAGTTATTAAAGACAGGAAAGACGATGACCCATGTTATACAGTGAGAAACATTTGGTAAGACTCTTGCCTACAAGAACTTCCGAAGCTGATACTATTCTGCCCTTGTGGCTTTGGCTGAAGAGCCTGGGAAACAGAACGTGTCTCTCATGCCTTGGTTGCTACAGACTGAATTGTGCCCCCTCCAAAAATGAATATGTTGAAGCCCTAACCTCCAGTACTTTAGAATGTGGCTGCATTTGGAGCCCAGGTCTTTAAAGTGGTAATTAAGTTTAAATGAGGTCATCAGGGTGGGCCCTCATCCAATATGATTGGTGTCCTTATAAGAAGAAATTTGGGTTGGATGTGGTGGCGCACGCCTGTAATCCTAACACTCTGGGAGGCCGAGGCAGGAGGATCACTTGAGCCCAGGAATTTGAGGGTGCAATGAGCTATGATGATGCCACGGCACTCTAGCCGGGGTGATACAGCGAGACCCTGTCTCAAAAAAAAAAAAAAAAAAAACGCACACCAAAAAAAAAAAAAAGAAGAAGAGGAAGAAATCTGGCCATGGATGTGTATGGAGCAGAGATGGCATGAAGGCCATCCACAGGCAAGGAGGGAGGCCTGGAACGGCTCCTTCTCTCGAAGCCCTCAGAAGGACCCGACCTGCAGACACTTTGATCTTGGATTTCCAGCCTCCAAAACTGTGACACAATAACCGTGTGTGGCCCAAGCCCCCAGTCTGTGGTAGCGTGCCCCAGCAAACCAATGCCGCCCGTCACAGGCCTGCCCACAGAGATGCGCTCTGAGGGAATTAGCCTGTTTGCAAGCAAGGATGAAAGAGAAAGAGCAAACCCAGAAATTCCTAATTTGCAGGGTTGGAAAATGCAATTGTTTCTCCTCTCTGTCCAATGAAACAGGCACCACGTGACCGCTCCGGGTGCCCGGTGCCGGAAGGCGGCAGAGCCCGGGGGAGGATGCAGGGGCCAGCAGGAGCAGGGCCGCCTGTCCTGCAGGAAGCTGAGCTGGGTCCTGTGCCCCGAGCCGGGAGAAGGGCTGGGGTGGCCCACGGGAAGCAGAGCTTGGGCACACACCGCTTATCCCCACGGTGGGAAAAGGTGCGATCCGATCCCCCAGCCCGACACCCGGCGGGACTGTGGAGAACCCAGGGCCACTTCTGGAAGATCCTGCTCTTTGCATAGCAAGTGGGTAGAGCAGGCACGGTCCCTGCCCCTCTGGCAGTCAGTCGCTTCTGCAAAATTCAAGTGCCAAATGACATTTTAGTAAAACTTCTGACATATTTGCGCTTGGAACACATGATATGATCTTGGAGCAGATAAGAGTGTTAAATTTATCTTTGTCTGTGTCCCCAGAAATGTATTGTTTGCGAAGTCTGATTGTGAATGTTAAGCTTTCTGTAGACTCTTCCAAGTGGGTACTTACTCCACAAATAGTCAACAAGGAGTGGCCTGCGCTCAAGAAAAAAATAATAAAACTAAAAGATGCTCTTCTGCGCGGTCGAGTCCGGTTAAGACTCAGGCGCGAGGCACAGATTATGTCGGGGCCACCACGCCCTTTGGCAAACCCTCGGGAGAGCTGGGGAGGAGGTCCGGGCCGGGCGTGTCTTTAGCACAAGGAGCGGGGGACAATGACTCTCTGAAGAGGCTGCGCTGCCCGCTGGACTGAAAGGGGCCGTGACTGTCGACAACTTCAAAGCCCCTCTGGGCCCAGCGGGCAGAGAGCAGCCCGAGGCGGGGCCTCTTCTCCAGGGTCCTCATCCAGGTGGCCAAGGAGGCACAAAAGGAAGGCCCCCGGGGACGGGGTCGGGCAGCTCCGGGAGGGCACAGCGGGCCTGGGGAAGAGCGTTTCTCTCACCGGGGTCGGTGGTCCCCGCTGCGTCCACCACTCAGAATCGCAGTGGCCCCGGACCTGCGGCTGGCCCCCCGTTCCTCCCCTTCCTGACAGGGGTGTCTGTGGGGCCCCCTGGCCTCCCGCCACGTGTGTCGAGTGCCTGTGCCCGTTTGCTGGGGCTGCCACAACACAGCCTGCCTGGCGTGAGTAACAGAAGTCTGCTCTCTCACAGTTCTGGAGGCCAGAAGTCCAAGGTCAAGGTGTCAGCAGGGTGGGTCTCCTCTGGGGCCTCTCTCCTTGGCTTGCAGACGGCCGCCTTCGCGCTGGGTCTTCTCAGGGTCGTCCCTCTGTGGCGATCTCGGCCTCCAGATACAGCCACGCTCTGAGGTGCAAGGGATCAGGGCTTCGACAGACGAACTTGGGGAGGACCCAATTCAGCCGTGAACAGTGTGTGAGACCAGAAAGCTCCCTCCCACCGCCAGCGCCACCACTTACAGGTCTCCTGCCGGGAGAAGCCTCGGCCGGAGTCACGTGCCTGGCTGCGTTTGGCTGGTAGCCGGGCTGGCAGGTGCACAAAAGCTCGCTGCACGTGCGTGGCACCTTGATGCTCCTCCACGGGCCTCTCTCTGTCCGCGCGGCTCTCTTGGGCTTCCTCACAGCATGGCGGGTTTCTTTACGGTGGCTGGTTTCCCAGAGGAAGCGCTTCAAGCAGGGTTAAAGCGGTGCCTCAAATCTCTGCAGCCTCAGCCTCAGGAACCGCACAGCATCGCTTCTGCCGCATCTTGCTGTTGAAACCCGGTCCCGGGGCCGGCCCAGGTGCGATGGAAAAGACCCTGTGTTTCCAGCCGAGGAATGGCAGAGTCTGCAGCCGTCTCCACCCCACCTCAACGGTCTGTGCAAGAGAGAGCGCGCATATTTGCCACCAAGACGGGGAACTGTAGTAGATCGGTCATTGCTCCCAACATGCGCCGTCCTCCCAATGAGAGGATTGCCCACGCCTGTCCCGTTGTCACGTGATGCACAGGCCTCCGGGGTGGAGTGCACGTCCCCTCCCCGCACCAGGCTTGGCCACGTGAATTGCTTTAGCCAGGAATCGCGAGCAGCAGTCACAGCAGGACGTCCAGAGGAGACACTTCGAGAGCCCTCACGTGGGTTGGCCGCCCGCCTGCGCTCTTCCCGCGACGAGAACGGTGTCTTCCAGAGAGGGGGCTGAGACAAGCTCCCCTGTTCCATGCCGTACAAATCCAGCTGCTAAGACCTGTGTCCCCCCTGAGACCTGTATACGTTTACAGCGTCTCTCCATTTGCAAATGTTCAAAGCCCCTAAATTCATTTGTTTTTCTGGAAGTAACACCTAGCAAGTTTGGTGTCTCGAGGCACCACCCAATCTTCCTTGATCCACCGGAATTCACTAAGGGCGGAGGGCCTGGGAGGTCACCCCACCGCCCTGTCCGAGTATGCAGTTGGCCGTCGTTCCCGCTGTATGCAGCGGGCACCCCGTGCAGTCAAACAATCCTCCCGTCTCAGCCCCCCGAGTAGCTGGGATTACGGGGTCGTGCACCACCACGCCCGGTGCAGGAACTTTTAGACAAAATTTTCCAACCTGTCAGGAATGATATTTTTATAATATGCACAGTCACAAAGGGATGTAGGCAGCGTCAACTTGCTATGAAAGTTGCTCAATGCTTATTCTCAGTTTTATATTATTTTGTCATGTCTCCAAACAGTGCAGGGACCAGCACCCATGTGCTTTGGGTAGTGCGGGTCAAGTGACTTGCCAGAGGCCACACGGCAGATGAGCGCTGGGGCCGGGATTTGGACCCAGAGCCTGGGCTGTGGGCCACTCACACCAGGAGGAGATGCAGGGAAGGGTTTGGCCGCTGCATATGTTACATAACAAACACCTGAGGAAGAAAAGAGGACAGAGGGGGACAGAAAAGGCCCACAGACTGGTGTCAGGACTGTTCAGGAGGTTCCGGCACATGCAAAAATCCAGGGCTTCCCCTGAGAGGACTGGAGCAAGGAAGCGGGCTGGCGGGAGCAATGGCGTGGGGTGGGGACTAGACCCTTTGCCGTTCTTTGGGAGTCAGGAGCACATTCAAAAGTTCATTTAAATGACTTGTGACTGCTGGGTTGTCACGTCCCTCAGGGCAGAGACTGGGCCTTGTGGAACCCCGCCTTTTATTTGTGCTACACCGGCATTAGCTTAGGTTCCTGCACCTCTCTCTCCACTCCCAAAGGTTTTAATAAAAACACCACTAAATTGTTGCCTCCTGAGGGTTCAATGAATAAACAAACGATCAGGTGCAAAGCTGTCCTTACGTGCCCGTCCGTTGTGTGCAGGGCTCAGAGCAAATGCTAGGTGAGGAGGGAGCCAGCACCTCCAGATACCAGAAGCCGCCTCTCTGGGGGACGGAGAAGCTGTGCTGTCTTCGCCGGGCCTGTCTGTGTTTTCTGCAATGAGCAGGCATTACTTTTACAATAGGAAGGAGATTATTTTGGCAGAAACAAGCAGTCCGGGCCCCCGTTCAGCAGTGGGGCTGGGTAAACGCTCGGGGCTGGCGGAGGGCAGGGCTGGGGCGCAGGGACGGCGCCCAGGGAAGGCTTCGGGGCAGAGGTAGGATGCGCCAGGGCGGGGAAGGAAGAACCGGCCTTGCCGAGGAGGGCTCCTGTCCTGTGTCCGTCCCTGTATCTATTGCCCCTGTGCTGCCCCTGGTCTGGAAGCCCTCTGTGGGCAAGAGCAGGCTGCCTGGGGCCGCTTCCCTGCGCCGGCCGGGGTCTCCGATGGCACAGCTGGCTCCCGTGTGGACGGCAGAGGCGGCTTCTGCCCGGATGGCTGTCTCCTCCCAGCTCTCTGAATATCTGGTCTGTTCCGTTCCTAGGGGACAGGGGACAGGGGACGGGGGACGGGAAGGCAGCGCAGCCTCAGGACCTGCAGAGGACAGACGGCACAGAGGCGCCTGTTCCTGTCCCTCTGGGCCTCCGTGGCCTGCCCCCACCCTCCGACTTACTTCCCGCCACCCGCTGGTCCCCGGCCACGGCTCCGGCCCTGCTCTCCTCTTCTGGCTGCCTCCGTCCTGCTCAAGGTCAAGGAACAAACAGATAAACCCTTTCCCTGGAGCCGGCCACGGAGAGGACGCCTCCAGCTAGAATCCAATTCTGAGTCAGGGCCAGAGCTCTCTCTTTCCTGTGAGTGTGAAGACAGGGAGGAAATTTTTTGCGGCCATAAAATCAGTAAAAATGTTCTGTAGGCAGAGACAGGCCAAGTCGTTGGCTTTGGTTTAAGACACAAGTAGCGAATAAAAATGGTCAGGTTTGGGGACGCAGAGTCTGAGGGGCAAACCGTAATATTCGTGCAGCCATGAGAGGACTGTCTTTCGCCTGAGGGCCGGCCAGGCGGGGGACATGGTATGGAGAACATGCAATCGCCCCCGGCTCACTAGGACAGGAGGACACGGGCGGGCGTCTAACAGGAGTAAGTGTAGGGGTGACCAGGCATTGAAGACTCGGGACTTCTCTAGGCTTCTGGCCATGATGGTCTAGTGGCTGGAGCCAGGACCGTGGCTTTGGAGAGGCAGTGAGGGCAGCAACGAACTTGATGGATCTTGTATCTGAGTCCAGAGAAGTCAACACTGGCCGGCTTGGGAAGGGTCACATGGGCCGTGACAGGGACTTAGGACTGCACCCAGCGGGCAGTGGGGAGCATGAGAGGTCGAAGTGGGGACAGAGTGGTCCAGCCTGTACTTTAGGAAGCCCCCGTCTGTCTACGCTGCGTATTCGCCCTGCGGAGAGAAGGCTGCCGCGCCGATCCCCGTCCGGCCCGCGCAGGGCGAGTCGCAAATCCACGGACGCTGGAGGCAGGATGGGCAGGCCCAGGTGATGGACCGGACATGGCGGGGCACGGGAGGAGCCCACACCCAGGGTCCCCAAGAGGAACAAGGGAGCACAAGGCTTCAGGGGGGGGATACATACTTCTTGTCCCATATTCAGTATGTTTTGAGCTTTGGCCAAGCGCCATGGGCAGGACACCAAGAAGGATGCAGCGCAGCCCTGGCCCAGGCGGCCGGAGGTCACGCGGTGGAGGGAGACCTGTGAGGCGAAGTGCGGGGCAGGTCGCAACGCAGGGGACTCGGGCCAGCAGGGCGGGGGCCGTAGGAGCTGGCCGGGGCCTAGCTGGGAGGGCGGGTGGTAAAGGGCGGAGGACTAGGACTTGGCTGCCGTATGTCCCCTTCCTCTCGTGCCATCCCCGTGCCTGGTTCTGTGCGGGGTGGGCCGCCCCCGCTTCTCGGCCTGGCCCTGCTGCCCACTCCGGCCTCCGAGTCGGCCTCTCCTGCGCTCTGGTGAGCTGCCCTCTCTGGAGCCGGACACGCCCCGATGTTCCCTAAGGCCTCCGTCCCTTGTCCCCTGCCTCCTGTCTGCTGTGGGGAATCCTGTCCCTCCACAGGTAACGCGCGGGCCTGGCCTTGTCTTCACGCCCTGCTCAGCTCTTCCTCCTCGAAGCCTTGCCCAAGGCCCTGAGGCTGGGGCAGCCTCCCTGGGGCTGAGGAAACAGACTGTGGTAGATGTGGGGGTGGCCGGATGGGCGACAAATGGATGGATGGATGGAAGAGGGGGACAACTGAGGATCTCGATGGAGGGATAGACGGACGGAAGAGCAGACAGCGGACTGGGCGGGTGGGGCGAGGTGGTGGTGGCGGTGATGTGGCCGGGCGGACGGGGAAGGAGCCAGGCTGGCCCGGCTAGCGGAGGCCTGCAGGAGGCTGGCGGCACCCAGGGCAGAGGTGAGGGATCTTCCTCTCCTGGTCCCTCTCCCTGCAGCTTCCTCGGGACTCGCCTCCTGTGCTGGGTGGAACCGAGCCCCGGGCACTGGCACGGGGAACCTTCTTCCACGTTACCCCTTTCCCTAACTCTTCCCCCTGTGGGCGGCTTTTGCCGACTGGCCTGATTATTGGTGATGACCTGGGCTTCGGGATGAGAAGAGAAGTGGAGGTCTTCTCTGCACATCCTCTCTTGCCTTCTGCCTCCTCCTCCTCCTCCTCGTCCCCTGTGTCCTTCCAGCAAGGCCCAGGATCCCCAGATGGGCTGGGCGAGCTGAAGGCGCCACCCTAGCCGGGACCAGCTACCCGAGCCAGGCTGCCCTCAGCTCCAGCAGGCCCCGCGCCCGCCCCGCGCCCGGCAGCTCCGATTTTCAGCTCGGGTTTGATCGGCTGCCAGGATCTCCCAAATGTCAGCTGCAGCGTTAGCATCTTTAAGAGAGCGCCCGAGGCGATCTTTAAGCTGGGAGGCTGGGGCCCCATGCTGATGAGAGGAGCTGCTCCGAGCTGACAGCTCTGCCTCCCGCCTCCCCCGCCGGCTCTGGACTCCCCGGGCCTGGACAGCACCAGGACTCATTGTTAAGCCTGGCTGCGCAGGGCTTTGCCCGGAGTTGCAGTCGGTCCCCACAGCAGCGCCCCGCCAGGGAGCCCCGAGAGGACAGGGAGGGCCTGTCTTGTCATCCTGCATCCCCAAGCCCAGCACAGGGCGTGACCCAGAGGAGGACGGATAAACAGCTGCTCATCCAATGAATCATGAACCGCCAAAGCACCTGAAAGAGGCGACGCTGACAGCGCGCTTTCTCCCCTTCCCCACCTTGACGGGGAGATGCCCAGGGTGTGTGGGCATGGGCAAAGGTGTCCCAGGTGTAGCATAGGGAAGCTGTGTGACCATGGGAAAGTTGCTGGCCTCAGCTTTCTCACCAGTGAAAAGGGATAGTATGCCAGCCCTGTAGAGTTGTTGGGGGAATCCAGCGAGAAGCCATGGGAACAACTGCCACTGTGCCTGACACAAAGTAGGTGCTCAGGGAGATCGGCCCCTCCCCCTCCCCATGGCTTTCCACCCCCTTGTACATTTCACTGAGGACAGATCTGTCACGTTTTCTGAGGCCTCCGTGTTTCCCTTCCAGCCCTCAGAAGGACCCTCATTCCCCAGTTGTCCAGCGCCACACAGCACTGGGAGGCCACCGGTTCCGGCCCAGCCCAGTGCTTGTCCTGCTGGTGCTTGGCCCTGGGCCTGGGGGTCTTGGCCTGTACCATGGCAGCCTCTGGTGCCCATGGCCCGCTGCGCTGTCCCCTGGTAACCCACGTCCCTCTGCAGGGTGGCGAGGCTCTGGGAGTGGGCCGCTAGGCTTGGCCCTTGTCCACACCTTTGAAGCCTCACTCTTGAGGCCGCAATCCCCAGGTAGAAAAGTACGTCGACTCAGGAAAGGGAAGACGCGAGAGAACCCAGAGTCCAACTCCCACCAGTGGAAGGGAACAGGGAAGGGGCGGCCTGAACCTCTCCCCCTGGCGCTGCAGGCTTGGTGGCACCAGTGGGAAGTGGTGTGCTGGCCCAGGGGCGGAGCCGTGCACTTCCGCGGAGAGCACACATCAGCAGCCCACTCGAACAGGTGTTTCAGAACGGTCGTGGGATAAAAACGAAATGAACGTATGAATGGATGGCGGGTGGTGGCAAGTCATGGATGGAAACATGGCTGCGTGTGTAATGGCTGGACGGGGGCTGACTGGGTTGGGATGGTGGATGGGGTGGGCTGGGGGTGGAGGGGGGCTGGGGGTAGATGGGTGGATGGGGTGGGTTTGGGGATGGGGGTGGGGCTTGGGTGGGGATGGGTGGATGGGGGTGGGGGTGGGTGGGGATGGGGGTGGGGGTGGATGGCTGGTGATGGGCTGGGTGGATTGGTGGATGGAGTGGGGGCTGGGGGATGGATGGAGTGGGATGGGGGGTGGGGCTGGTTGGGTGGATGGTGGGGTGGGGGATGATGGGGTGGGGGGATGGGGGTGGGTGGTAATGGTGATGGGGTGGATGGTGATGGCTGGTTGGTGGGTGGGGATGGAGGTGTGGCTGGGGGATGGAACTGGGTGGATGGGGGTGGGGCTGGGGCTGGGTGGGTGGATGGAGTGGTGGATGATGGGTGGATGGCTGTGGATTGGTGGTGGATGGGTGGCGTGGATGGCTGGTAAGTGATGGTGGATGTGTGATGTGGTGGATGGTGAGGGTGGCTGGGAGAGGTGGATGGATGAGTATGATGGTGATGATGGAGGATGTGATGTGGTGTGTGGATGTGGGTGGATGGGGGGTGGATGGATGGCGGGGTGGATGGATAGATGGGTGGGTGGGGGAGGAGGATGGCTATATGGGTAGGTGGGTGAGTGAATGAATGTGTGCATGGGTAGGTGGATAGGTGGATGGATGGATGGATAGATTATGTACAGATGGGAAGGTTGGACGGATGAATGGGGTCATGGATGGGTGAATGAGTGGTGAGTGGATGGATGTACAGAAGGGTGGATGAGTTGGTGGGAAGATGGGTGGGTAGGTGTGAGTAGGTAGGTGGAGGTAGCACTGGCATATAGCAAAAAGCACCCAGATTAGGGGTTAGAAAAATCTTGCCTTTGCCCTAATTGCCCCTACTGCCTAGGGGATGTGGAGTGAATCAGCGGTCCTTCTTGGATCTCAGCTTCCTTATCTTGCTGAAGGACAATAGTCCCTGTCCCCAACTCCTCAGGAATCACTGTAAGATCCCTGGATTATGAGTGCCCCCAAGCACATGGCCTCACCGACCCTACTGACCCAGCCTGCCGGCCCTCGTGCCTGTCCTGTGATGAGTTTCCTCTTTCCTGTGTCCACAGGGCCCTTCCGTGCCGTTTCCGTAAACATGTCTAACAGAGACTCAGGGAACTGTGTTCACAGCAAAATCCCACACGGAAACGTCCATGCCCCTGAACCTGGGCAAGCCTGGCTGGTGTGGGCTGGGGTTAAGAGGCCATCTGTGAGGTCAAGTAGATTCTGATGCCAGCTCTGGCACTCAGTGCTGTGGCAAGTCACTGCCCGTCCCCGAGCCTCACCTTCCCCACCGGAAAACAGGAATAATAGCAGCACCCATCTTCCAGGGTGGCTAGGAGGCTCGGCCATAAATGCATGTGGGGTGCTCAGCCCAGGCCAGGCTCAGGGAGGCAGAGCTGCCCTCACTGTCACCTCCACCCTGAACCAAACAACGACTGCCTGTTGTGAAATGAGTGTCCCTTGTGCATGCTACGGAAGTCTGGGTACCTGCTGGTTTCCCAAAATGGGGAAGGTTCCAAGGAGTAGAGAACCCCAAGGAACAGGCAGCTCACAGCCCCAGCAGCCACTTCTCATGCCAGCCTTGTGTGGCTGCTCTGCAGCCTTAGGACCACGCACACCTCGTCCTGGACAACCAGGGGCTCGTGCTTCCTGCTACCAGCTGGGTGACCCTGGGCAAGCCATGCCACCCCTCTGAGTCTGGGTTTCCTCCCAGTAAAAGATGGGCCCAGAGTTACCTACATGCCTCGCACTTGGCTTCCATAGCCCCCACCGGCTTGCCGCCCAGCAAGGATGGGGAGGTCAGCACCCTTCCCAGCTGAAGTCCAGAGAGGCTCTGGCGCTGACACCTGTGCCGCACTAGGATAAAAGCAGACTTTTGGGGACAGGAAGGAACCCAGGGCTGGAGGGGGCTGGGACGTTCCGTTGTTGCTGCCCCCGGGACTCCTGTGTCCCCACCCTCTCCACGTGGGCAGCTGTCCCAAACTCAGGTCTGAGGGGCCACCGGATCCAACGACCCTGTTACTGAGGCTGCCTAACCTCCCGTGGACTCTGTGGGTGTCCCTTGGGTCAGCCAAGTGTTGGGGGGTCCCCTAGGAGTGGGGGTCAGGCTGGGGGCTGCGGGGGCTTTGCTCCCAACCTGTCCTGAGGACCCCGCTGGAGCCTCCAGCCGATGGCCGGGCTGTGGAGCCCTCAGTCAGCCCAGGACCCCTCCTGCTGCCGCTCCCTGCTGACGAGCCGTGCTGCTTGCTGGGAGTCCTCTCGGTGGAGCCTTAAGAAACTGTCTGTGACCCCCCAACTTCCAGGGGACCCCCCAACACTTGGCTGACCCAAGGGACACCCACAGAGTCCACGGGATGTTAGGCAGCCCCAGTAACAGGGTGGTTGGATCCGGTGCCCCTCAGACCTGAGTTTTGGACAGCTGTCCATGTGGAGAGGGTGGGGACACAGGAGCCCCGGGGGCAGCAACAACAGAACGTCCCAGCCCCCTCCAGCCCCGGGTTCCTTCCTCTCCTTCCCCAACTGCTACAGACTCTGGTTAAAATGGCACCTCCACCATCTGTCATCCCTCCCCCACCCTGGGCACGGCTGTGACTTGGGGGCTGTCTTGCCTGTAAACAAGCGGCTGGCGGGTCCCCAGGGCTGAGCGGGTGACAGGCCTGGTGCTTGCACCAATGCCCAGCCAAGGACTGGGGCTGGAGGGGCCCGAGGGCAGACGAGCTGGGGAGGAGCCCACCGGTGGGCAGGCAGGACACCAGGTACCATGAGGCTCCCAGAGCCTCCGAGTGTCCCGCCTCCGGGCAGCTCCAGGCCCCCTCTCCCAACCGTGCCCACCCCTGCCCCCAGCTCCAGCTCCCGCCTTGCTTCTGCTGTGTTCAGAGAATTCCAAATCAATGCCTGCGTGAGGGGCTCCACGGTTCCTCCCCACCGCGGCTGCCATCCGGCAGCACGCACTGTGCCACCAGGATCTTTGCTTTACGAGCAGGGAAACTGAGGCCAGGGAGCAGGGCAGCGGGAGGGCCAGGGTGGAGCAGGACTCACCACCCTGTTGCCTCTTCCTGGTCGGGTTGGAGGGGGAGGGGTGTCACAGGGCCCAAGTGCCTGAGCCCTGAAACTGTAAACAGGCTTCCCCATCTCAGTTTTCCCATCTGGGGAATGGGGGAGTCAAGACTGCTGGGGGTGGGGCTCGTCCTGGGAGCCAGAGAGCGTTTGGGGACCTGTCACTCTCTCACGGGCCCCACATCCCTCCATCACAGAGGACGTGGGAGGGGCAGCCGGGAGGGGCTGGGGGCAGGCGCCAGGGGTGTCTGGGCAGGAATCTGCCGGGTCAGACCCGCGGCCTTCCTTCCCCCAGGTCCCGCCTGTCCCTCCCCGCACGGAGCTGCCAGCTGCCCCTCCTCCCTCCCGCCTCCCTCTGGCCCGCTCCGCCCGCCCCGCGAAGCCCCCAGACCCCAGCTGCGGTGTTTTCACAGCTTAGACCAGCGCTCAGCCTCCCCCGCTTCCCCCCTGCTCCCCCGCTCCTCCCTCTTCCCCCTCCCCCTGCCTCCTTCCCTCCCAGTGCCTCCCCTCCTCCTCTCCATCTCCCCGCCCCCCCGCACTCTCCTCCTCGCTCCCTCCTCTCGCCTCCCCCCTCCTCGCCCCCTCCCTGCCTCCCGCCTTTCTCCTCCCCTCCCTCCCTCCCTCCCTCCGCCCCCTCCCTCCCTCTCCCTCCCTCCCGCTCTCGGGGGGAAGAAAGGTCACCGTGCAGCTGATTACTCAGAGCTCAGTTGCTGTAGCAACCGGCGGGGGAAGTGGGACAGGCTGGCTTTGAGGACGCGCGAGGTCGGCCGCGGGCGGCTGGAGCCGGCGCGGGCCTCTGTGCGCCGCGAGAGGGAGGCCGCCTGCAGCCCGGCTGCTCCGCCGCGGGCCCGGCTCCGGGGGCTCGGTTTTAATGACGAGTCCCCGCGCCCCTCTCGCGCCACCCGCGTCCGCCCACCCCCTGGGGTCGGCCGGGGGAGGGTCGCCCCTCCCGGCTTGGCGGCTTCTCTCCGCGTCTCGTCTCTGTCTCTCCGTCTCTCCCCGCCCCGCCCGGGTTCTGGTGGCTTCCTTTTCTCCTCTCGCAGCGCTGGCAGGGACCAGCCCTTCCCGGCGCCTGCACACTCGCGCTCGCTCTCCCAGCCTGAGCCCCGAGAAACCCGCGGCCCCCTGCCCCGCCTCTGGCGCTGGCCCGGGAGCCCCCCGGCTTCCTCGACCCAGCCAGAGACAGGGGTGCGCAGGGGACCGCTGTGGCCCGCCCCCGCCGTCCAGGAGCCCTGGGCCCCTTGGGAAGGCAGCTCTCTGCTCAGAGGGGAAGGCGGACCCAGCTGCCAGGGAGGGGCGGCCATGCAGGCAAGGGAGGTGGGCGCGTCCTTCTGCCAGCAGCCCGGGGAGGAGGATCCCTGAGGTCTGGGGGCTTGGCAGGGGGGGGCACAGGCCCTGGAGCTGGTAGGCCTGGGCTCAGATCCCTGCCCCCCCATGGGACCCTCCTCCTGGGCTGATAAAAATGGCAAGTGGTTGAACCACTTTGGAAAACATTTGGCATCTTTTCAAAAACCTGAACATGCATTTATACCATGGGTCTTGCCGTTGCGCTCCCAGGCATTTATCTCAGAGAAATGAAAACTCATGTTCACGCAAAGGCCTGTACACCAGTGTTCCTAGCGGCTTTATTTGCGGAAGATGAAAACTGTAAACAACTCCATGTCTGCAGGTCAACGGGGAACGGATCAACAGGTTGTGGTGCATCCGTGGAAGGATGGGCCACTCAGCAACCGGGAGAAAGGAGCCAGGGTGCACACAGCGCCACACACAGCACCAGGCAGGATCCCAGACAACGCAGCTGAGTGCACAGACCTGGGATTCTGTTCCTGTAAAATTCCGGAAAATGCAAACCAGTCTGTAGTGACAGAAAGCAGCTCAGTGGTTGCCTGGGGACACTGGGGGCCAGGAAGGACTACAGATTGGCTCCAGGAAATTTATGTTGCGGGGCCGACGGGGTGGCGGTGGCTGTGCTCACTGTGTTGATGGTGGTGATGGTTCTAGGGGTGTATACATGCGCCACAACTCATCCAAGTGTGCAGCTTACATATGTGCAGTTACTCAGTGCCCATTATACCTCAATAAATTGAAAACGCAAACTCACTGGCTACATGACGCTGGGCGGGTCCCCTTACTTCTCCAGGCCTCATTTATGAAAATGGAATAATGGTGGCACAACCTCATGGGTTGGTGCTTAGGAGTCAACAAGACAGTGCTGGTAAATGGCTCCATTCAGGGCAAACCATGGGTGCCCCCATCTAGGACAGAGAAGAACAGGACCGTGGGACCTGCCTGTCTGTCCCTTGTTGGACTGTCAGACGTGCCCCGCTCTAGGTTGGCTCCACCACTTATGCATGCCTGCCCAGTGACAGGGGGAGCCCCTGCTCCACGCCAGACCCGGCCACTTCCTGGACAAACAAGGCAGAAACAAGCCCTGTTGCCACCCTGAGTGACAGAGACACACCCTGACAATTACAACATGGAGAAGGGAGATCCCAGCATGTGCAAAGGCCCTGTGGCTGATGGGAGTGGAGTACGATACATCCCAGAATCCACAGGAAAGATCTTTGTGGGTGAAAGGGAGGCAGCAGGGAGACACAGACGGGCCTAGCATGCGACATTTTGGGGCCCTGCCAAGGAGTCAGTGTGGGGCAGGCGGGGGGAGGGTCATGAGGGCTGCCCAGCCCTGCATGTGGTTTGCAGGAAGCTGTGGCATTGGCTCCATCTCCGTGCAAATCCCACTTCCCCCTCACTACCACTTACTTCCTCCAAGCCTCAGTTTCCCCATCTGGCAAATGGGGGAATGGCCCCTCACACAGCCTGGCACAGAGCTCAGTGACTGCGATCCGGGTTGCGTCCTATTTCCTTGCATTGCTACACCGTGGTATAATTTTCAGGCTCAGATTAGCCTTCCAGGCCTGTGTGCTCCCGGGGGCAGCCCCTGCAGCCTCCACTCTGAGCCTCCATACGTGGCACAGAACACCCCAGAAATACCTAAGAAGGCAAACTGAGGTCCCAAAGCCCTGCTCTCACTGGGTTCGCTGTCCGGTTGGAAGACAAAGAGACAACTGCTTCTGCAGGGGATAGGTGCGGCCCCCAGGAGTTCTTCAAAGGTGTTAAGGCCATGAGGCCACCTTCACCTCAGCCTCTGAGGCCTCTCTCAAGTTCAGCCCGAGCACGGGCGACTTGCTAGCCTTCCCTAGCCGCACTTGGTTCTGCCCTGGCTGGTGCACAGCGTGGCCGGGCCAGGTGTTCCCCCTTTGCTCTCGAGGCCTGGGAGGGGAGGGGTCTGAGGCCCCAGGACCAGCTGCCCCTCCTGCCTGACGGTCAGTCCCAGCCCCTGCCCTGACCTGCCAGGCGGGACGGGTTGACCTAAGACAGTCCCATGGGGGCCAGGCCGGGAGGGGTTCGGCCAGCCCCCACCTCGTGCCAGAGCGGGCAGAGGCCGGGCCAGGTGCCACAGCCTGCGTCCCTTTCCTGCCACTGAGGCTCGCACCACCGGAGCGTCGCCGATCTGTGCCAGGGAGGAGAGTAAAGCGCTACGCTGAGCCGGCAGTTTGCTGGGAAGGAGGGCTCTGGCCTCAGAGTGGCGCCTGCCTCCGTGACCCCCTTCAAAGGGGGTTCCCTTCACAGCGGGGTGGCGGCACACCAGCCCACCACGCCTGCTCTTGCCGGGAGCCGTGAGAGGTCAGCCAGGGCGGGAGGGAGCCCGAGGCCACAGCCCCGACACCACTGAGCCTCTGGGGCTCTCCCACGACATGGCCGAAGGGGCCGACCCACCTGGCCAGCCGAAAGCCCGAAAGCCTGTGGTTTCAGAAAGAAGTGTCATGGGAAAAAATCGCACCAGATACCAGTTGCCTTGTCCTCAGAGGCTGAGCCCTGTGCCTCCATGCTCTGTGACATGGCCATGTCACTGCCCTGTCTGAACCTCCTCTTCTGAAAACTGCGCGGCATCGCACTAGCCTGCGGGCACTTCGCCTGGCTGATCTAGCAAACGTCGTTATTGTCAAGACGCCCATTTCACAGAGGAAGAACTGAGGCCAGAATGTCCAGGTGAAGTGCCCTCCCGGCCCTCCAGCTGCCTTCTCGCTGTGTGCTGGGCTGTGCAGAGGAGGAATTACTGATGCATCTGCTGTGACAACTGTCATTATCCCAGGACTGAGGGTCCCACCAACACAGGAGCTGGGTCTCCGCCGCTCG